GGTATTTAGTAGGTCAATTTTAAGGATAGAAAATAATTAAAATTTTTTTATTATGGAAAACTTCAAAATACTCAAAAGTACAGAGAATAGGAGTCTAACATTCATACACTCAACAACCAGCTTTATTATCAACTCTTGGCCAATCTTGTTTTATTTATGTCCCCCAAATTTCCTTCTCTCCATCCCTCTTCCAATTATTGTGAAGCAAATCCTAGGCATCATATATTTTATCTGTAAAGATTTCAGTAGGGGGGCGCCTGGGTGGCTCAGTTGGTTGAGAGACTGCCTTCGGCTCAGGTCATGATCCTGGAGTCCCTGGATCGAGTCCCGCATCGGGCTCCCTGCTCGGCGGGGAGCCTGCTTCTCCCTCTGACCTTCCCCCCTCTCATGTGCTCTCTCTCCCTCATTCTCTCTGTCTCAAATAAATAAATAAAACCTTTAAAAAAAAAAAAAAAGATTTCAGTAGGTATCTCTAAATGGTAAGAACGTAAAAAAAAAAAAAAACCACAACATAATCACAATGCCATCATCACACTTATAAGTTAAACAATGATGTAAGAATACTTTATTCTGATTTTCATCATTTATCTTATTTGTTTTCTTTTCTTTTCTTTTTTTTTTTAAGATTTTATTTATTTATTTATTTGAGAGAGAGAGAATGAGAGACAGAGAGCATGAGAGGAAGGAGGGTCAGAGGGAGAAGCAGACTCCCTGCCGAGCAGGGAGCCCGATGTGGGACTCGATCCCGGGACCCCAGGATCATGACCTGAGCCGAAGGCAGTTGCTTAACCAACTGAGCCACCCAGGCGCCCCTATCTTATTTGTTTTCTTAAAATTTAATATTAAATTTATGTCAACAGTATAAATCTAAACATATTAACATATCCTGAAAGATATCCAGGATATGTTGTCAAGTGAAAGAGCAAGTCATAGAATAATTTTTATAACAGGCTTAATTTGTATTTTAAAAATTATAAATAACTGTATTTTTGTTTAAACATGTAAAAGGATTAGAAACATACCTCAAGCCCAGAACTGTTGTTACTTTTTAAAGTAAGAATAATCAGGGTTGGTATTGGGGATGGGAAAAGGACTTTCACTTCTAACCTATTCTTTAGTAGTTTTTATTTAAAAAAATGCATATTACTTTTGGAACTAAATTTTCAAAAAAGAATTTATGAAAGGAAGAATTTAAAAATAAATTATGTCAACATGTAAAATGAGAGACATTCTTAGGTCAGGATGTCCTGTCCAGATATTGTCTCTCAGTTGAATAATCTTACTCCTGGGTTAGTAAGAGTGGTGGTTAGCATGCATGTGTGCCTGGCTATGTGCCAGGCACTTGCGCCAGGTGCTTCTAATCTGATTACTTATGGTCTCACCATTAACCCTTTGAGGTGAGTATTCCCATTTCTCAGATAAAGAAACACAGTGTAGAGCAGTTGAATAACCTGCCAGAAGTTTGGAAGAGGCTGAACAGGCTTGGAACTGAGGTCCTGGGACTCTTTGCCCACTCTTTAATCACTTCAGTGAACTTCCACTTCCCTTGGTTTTGAAGTTCTCACTATTACAGAATGAATTTTGTTATTTCAGTTTGTACTGGTTTGACTCTTTTGTTTTTAAATTTCTATATCAGCCTCAACTACTCCATTTTACTCTAAACTCAATGGCTCAGGCAAGACAAGGATAATTCCTCTCATTTCTCCCCTTCATTCATAGAATCTGACTGGCCTGAAGGACTAAGGGGAGAAAGGATCCAAAAAGAATTTCATGCTTTCCTGATTCAAGAAACATTTCAATAATAGGCAGATGGTTCTTGTCATGAGTGGCTTTCTGTGCAATTCTCCAGCTGCCTAACCTTTCTTTCTTGGTGGAAAAATGTCATAAAGCTCTTCTTAATTTATCTATTCCATAAACATAGCACAAAGAGATTACAAGTGTGTAAGAATAGAAGTGCCCAGCACTTTTATTTGCAATATATTCCAAATGATAGATGTCAACAAGCTGTAACTATCCTTTTTAAAAAGTTATGGATTAGTTCTTACATACTGTAGTAGCAAATTTATTTTTCACAACTTGACCTTAGCACCAACAATGCTTTGGGCTTGTTTTTAGTCATTTTTTGTTTGTTTGTTTGGAATAACAAACTTATCATTTAACATAAAAAGAATGCAATAGGAAAGCAAATTTGTCTATAAAACAATATACCTCCACATACAAACACTATGATACATAAATTCTTTTTGTATTCACATTATTATATCCCTTATCTATCCCTTATCTATTGGAGATAATTGAGATATTACTGTGTGCCCCAAAGAAAAGTCTTTAACCCAAAGAAATTTGATCCTTACAAAATTCTGCTGAAATTATTCAAGTGATTATTTAAGAAGATGAGTAGTTTGAAGTTTTCTATCCTTTGCATGCCTTTGCTCTACCATCCCAACAAGGATCATAGGAGCTCCACAGACTAGGTTGAGAAAATGCCACTGACAAGACAGAGTCTTCCAGAATTTAGACCATTTGATGTCCTTCTTTACACACAGTGAAAAAGTGTAGCAAGTAGCAACTTCACTGACCACAGAAAGGTACTGTCCAATCCTGCTTGTATTATTATAATAAGATTCCAAATTTTAATCACTTAGATTTAAAATTCTGCCCTTCAGACAAGCTGAATGATAGGTCACTTTACTGGATAGTTCACACTGTTTAGAGATATAATTTTAATATTTATTCTTTTGCAAATGTATAGCTATACTCTGTGTCTCTGTGTCTAGATTCCCCAAAGAGGATATTTGAGAAATTTCATAAATACTCATAATTATGTTTGGTGAGATGGTTTAAAATAATTCAATTCTAACTCTTTTAGGAGGCTTAGACAGAGGTGAGACTTTTTGCTCTGAAGGGGGAAGAATTTTCTACTGCCTAATGTCTGAAAATATTGTAGCATACTTTGGGAGATCTTTAGTTAGTTTACAAGTCATATTGTAGGAAACCCTGCTCTGTAGCCTGCCTTCTAAGTAGGTCTCACACCAGTGTCTGGGGCAATTCATGAATTTAGTCTAATAAACTGCAACCTTATTCCTCCAAGGAGTTGTATTTTTCCTGTGACTTATATACCATTGTTGGCTTTTTAGTTATTTCTTCCTCTGGATCATCTTGCAGTTGTTAGTAGAGTGTCCAGATATGGGTGTTTGGTCATGTATAATAAGTATAACTTTAATATAAATTATTTGGCAGAGGAGGATGACTGTAAGGTCAAGGCTTTCTTGACATTTTAAGTGTTAGGTTTGGAAATTTTCTACCCAACTTTCTGTTTAACTCATTAGGAAAGTGGCTCTGACAAGGTCAGGCAATTAGTGGCAATTCCAGGGCTAGAGAGGTTGTGGTGCATTACATTTAAGTGCTTTGGCTCTGACATCCCAGGGTCTGGGTTTGAATCCTGCTCCGGCCACTTATGAGTTGTATGGTCTTGTGCAATTTATATCACCTCTCTGTGCCTCAGTTTCCACATCTGAAAACAGGATGATCATAATATATAGTTTATAAGGCTATTATGAGGATTAAATAAATGAAATGAATTAAACACTTGGCACAGTGCGTGGTATATAATGAGTACTGAATAAATGCTATTAGAATTAGAACTCCTGTCTCCTACCTCTCAGTTGATGGCTTTATAGTTGCACCACATTGTTTCTCCTGATATCCTTTAAAGATAGTAAAATATTGTAATAGTGTTCTCATTAAATATTTCAGTTGATTAAATATTTCAGAAAAGAATACATATTTAACAAATTTCATCTTGACCATTTTTTTCCACGTGAGAGATGAACATATAATAAATGAAGAATTTGGATTGAAATGAAAGATTAAGTGATGTATGTCTGAGTATATTCAGGTAGCACATTATGTAATAAATTACTTTTTAATACAGCTATGATTCCTAATTTGCATAAACAATTGGCCACTTTAGTGGCACGTTAGATACATTGAGCCCAACTAACCAATACAAATGTATTACAAATGCATATCTGGAATGTGAAACAGTTCCTGGAAACTCATTGGAACTGAAATTTCCAGTAAAGGAAACCCTTGATTTTTCAATAAAAGAGGAAATATCTGTTCTGGGTTCATGTAGATGATATGGATTTAGCAATGATTTGTTCTTTGATTATAATCACTGAGTGCCTTTTAAAGAGAGATTCATGCCTTTGCAGCTCTCTGTGGAGACATACTGTTATATCAACAGTGGCTAATCTTATATGCATGATACTGTCTACCAGTTAAACCATTACTGTCACTTCTGTGCATTGAGATGTGTGCAGTGAGTTGTGAGCTCTATTTCTATTCTTATTAGATATATGTGGCAGACACTCTGGGCTTCCTGCTCCCCTGTCATTCTCACTAGCCATGTTTCTTGCTCGTAGAACCCTGATTTTTCTCAAATATTGGGTGGCCACGTGCTTTAAGGGAAGTTGGGGTTTCCCTTAGCCTTGAGGGGAAGTGAATCTTGAATAGTCCAAACAAACATTCTAATTCTAATTATTATCCTTCCAGTGACTGATCTAGACATGAGTATGTGACATAATTTTGGCCAACGAAAACAGAGTTTTTGAGGAGGATGGTGCTTCCGTGTAAGATTTATGTGTATAAGGAAACACTTCTGTCTCTGATTTTTGTCATCTTTATGTGTTGCCTGGAATTGCAGAAGCCAATCTGAGCACCTTGAGGAGGTGCTAGCCTCAGGGGAGAAGCCAACATGCTTATATTTGCAGAGTAGACAGACGGAAAGGACCTGGGTCCTTCTTGATATCTGTGAATTACCAGGTGAACTCACCCTGAAGTTACTCTACCTCTGGACCTCTTATTTTCTAATATAATAAAAGACATTATTTAAGCCAATTTTACTCAGCTTTCTTTTTTCAATAGAAACATGCTAATTGATGCAATGTAAAATCATCTAATTATAATTCTGGTCTCTTTGTATTCTTTGCCTGTAGTTGCCAAAATGAGCCGAAATCTGAAAATTGCTCAGTAGGACCAGGCATGGGGCTTTTCATGTGGTTTCACTTGCCAATAACCACTCTCTTGATAACTGTAAGTATTTCGACTTCTCTTAACCCGTGACATTTCTTTATACCTCGAGTTAGTGTTTTAGGTACAATCATATAAATATTAAATGATATAATTATTAATCTCACAGGGTTCCATTTTTGTTGCAGTTTCTTTTTCCTCTTTTAAGTTCTTTGGTTACCCTCATTCTGGGACACAGCACTGAATGGGGAATCACCTCAGTCAGCGCAAGGAATGATGTAGACCTTTCGTTACCTTAGCATAGCCATCTCCTTTGAGCTGACATATTGTTTTCCTAATAAAAATGCTTAATTTAGATGGCTTAAAAATTAACTTTCCTCCTTTTTTTAAAGTCATGAGCACAGAATCATGTAATAGCAGCTGAACTTTAGAAGACTGAACATACGTGAATTGGGATTTGTGTTGTGATAAATTAAACAAAAAATTAACTTGACATATATTTCAGATATATTTAATTTTTCTTCTGAGTGATTACTAGACATGGATGTTAATTCATATAAATCACCAGGGTTACAGTTTATAGGCACCTTATAAAATGAATGCGTTTGGATAATGATCAAGCCTATAGGGAAGTCTTACCATCTTTAGAAAATCCTCCTCAATTAATTTCTCTCCTTAATAAGTTGCTCCATTTTTGCTACCATCTCTTGAAATGCCGTTACCATGTACAGTTACTGACATAATAGTATCTCCCTTTACTTTGTGAGTAACTCTTCTTTGAATGTCATGGTTTCATGAGGAGATTTGTCATCGGACCCATTAGGGGACCAAACCATGAAAGTAGAGGATGGGGTCTCAATCAAGGGTGACACTATGCAGTCAGGTATTTCATTCTAGACAAAGCAAATTGTGAATGAACTGAACAGATGGGTCTGTTCAGAGAGACTCTTAGGAAAGTCGCCAGGTGGGGCCTGAGCCTTTGGCATCGCTGGTTAACTAATAGACTGTGATCATTGTTCTTAACCAAAGAACAAAGTCCTATACCCTTTTCTGACACACAGGCTGCAGTACATTTACAGTGAAGAGGAAAATAAGAAATAGCTACAGAAAGCTTTAAAAATACCCGTGTAAAGCCTATTAATTTAGAATACCTGCCTGCCAGCACTTTTTGGTAGGTATGTCTATGGAGAGAGATTGGGAAGAAACTTGTTCTTTCCTGTCCCATATAAGGCAGAACAAAGATGTAACTCGATGTTACTATGTGTTTCTGATTTCTGCCCATAAACAAGTAAAACCTTTTTCAGAATTCTGTCTACTTGCTGGGAAACCTTTCTCTAATTCATTCCTGCAGAAACTCACCAGTAGGGGGTGAAACTCCTTTCCACACTCCACTCCCTAACTGAGCAATGCTAGCTTTGGATGATAAAGATTCTCACCTTTAGGCAGAGTGCTGGAAGTACAATGAGTTATAATGAAATATTGTTTGGCATTGCATTTGATAGGAGATAAGAAGTGCTTAATATTCTTTTATGAGTCTTTATCTTCTGGCATCCTGAAATTTCCTCCCCATCACAATATAAAGAATTAAAGTACAGTTTATGTTGAGATGGGAGACATCCCCAATTTTGGGGAATCCTAGGACAAGACCTACAAATTCTGTCTTTAATGGCATGCATGAGGCCCACAGCCTCAGATTAGTGTTGAATCCCTAGCAACTTTGGTGAATAAGAATGAATATTTGTGGGGGCCAAGAGGGTTACGTAACTATTGTGCCAGAATCTATAAGCTTGATTGCTTTGGTGCATCTTGTAAAGAGTGAAATAATAAAGTCTTTTTGAAAATTTTAGTCTGTCTCATTTGTAGTAAGGAGTACCAAGAAAATTGTGTGTGTGTGTGTGTGTGTGTGTGTGTATGAAAAATCACAAGGCAGAGCTGTGGTCACTTGGTCAGCCCTCCTGTCCTTCAGGAGCAGCTCCTTCAAGTGCTGAAAGCTTCCATTTCATTTTAATAAGGGAGGTGATATTCTCATGTAGTAAATACACACAGCCTTATCTAATTATATAATAGATCCCATTTGTTTTCACATGTCAGGTATTCTTAACATGTTTTGCAAGCATTTTTTGTCCAGTTTCTACCATATATTGTAAGCTCTTTGCATGAACAGATTTTCTGTATTCCGATTCTTTTATATTCTTATGGGTGACACCCACTGCAAATTGCAGGGATTAAGTAAATCCTGATAACTTGCCAGTTTTAACTAATAGATAAGATAGTGCTTTAAGGGTTATAAAAAACTTTAGCCATTAACAGCAGGAGTTGTCTTAAGCTCTTTTCTTTCCTATTTTAATGAAGTTTTTTTTATAGTAGTATTACAGACAAACATTATATTAGTTTTAGGCATATAGCATAATGATTTGATATTTATATATATTGCAAAATGATCACCACAATAAGACTAGTTAACATCCATCACCATTCGTAGTTACAGTTTTTTGGTTTTGTTTTGTTTTTGGTTATGGGAACTTTTAAAATTTACTCTTTTAGCAGTTTCAAATATGCAATACAGTATTAACTATAGTCACCATTTAAGCTCTTAAAGAATACATTTAGGGAAGGATGTGTAAACATTTTAGTTAGTAGCATTCTTCCTATGATTTCTACTTCTTAAAGAAAGTAACAGTAGATGTAATTAAATATTTTAGCTACTGTCATTGTCAAATCTGTTAAGCACATAATTGTCCAGTATATGCTTTTTTTGGTATACATCCCCTTTGACCATATCTTACTTGTTTTGTTTTTCAGCATCTTTTCATTGTTAGTTTTCCTGTCTAGTCAAGTAAGATGTTAAGTACAGGAGGGAGGCTGGGTCTCTGGGGTGTTAAGATTTCTCTTTTCCCTTGGCTTATTTGATTCATTACTTGCTTTGTATCTCCAGAGTACCCCCCTGACTCACAATTAGCATTTAATGGCAACCATGGGGCCCATAGTTTCGGAGATACTCAGGGACCCAAGGCTGCAGCTGAAGCAAGAAGAAAACACACCAAAATAGATAGATCTGCCTTGGTTAATGAAGATCACAGATAGAAATACTTTTTTTCCCCCTGTGGACATGGTGGGATTTTTTTTAGAACTGATGCTATTAATCAATCTGTCCTAAAACAGAAACAGTTGCAAATATGTAATACAGAGTATCAGTGGAATGGAAAACAAACCTTTAACTAAGCCTGATTTTTTTGAAGTTGGAAAATGTTGCCAGCCTGTTTTTTATGTAATTGAAAATGTTTAGAAGCTTTCCTGAAGAGTTGATTAATATATCAAAATCAAAAAAGGCAATTTTGAGTCTAATTTTGTTTGTTTACTGTGTAATACAGGATTCTTGGCTTTGAAATTCTGCCATGCAGGGTGAAAAATGACTGTCAGTGTGAAACAAAGTAGTCTATTGAAAAGAACATTGTGTCTAATAGGGAACAGCTGCTACCAGCCCAATGCTCACTCTGAAATTACATCTCAATCAGTCTGACTGATTCCTGTGGATAAAGGAGAGTCCAGATTTGGCCAAGGGGAGCAAAAGTGGGGGGAGGGAGGGAGTCTCTTGCCTCACCCACCTCTTGGTGCAAGAATCCTAAAATGGGGAGTTGATGGGGAGGCACTGTGGTGTAGGCTGGAGGAACTAGGATAATTTGGGACCTTGATAAGCTGCATAGACTGCAGTTTTCCGTACAGAGATAGAAGTGACATTATGAGGGAAGGGTTGCATAGCTTCTCTAGGACGGCGTAGAGTTTTAATGTGCTCCCAGAAGCTTTTCCAAGGACTTCTTGATTTTCTAAATCTGAATGAACTAAAATAGGTAGTTACATTTTGGTACTCAGCTTTTGGAGGAAGACACCATGGTTCAAGAAAACTGGGTTGGGGGGGGGCTTCCTGGCTTAGTCGGTAGAGCATGCAACTCTTGATCTTGGGGTTGTGAGTTTGAGCCCCATGCTGGATGTAGAGATTACTTAAGAAAATTAAGAATCTTTAAAAAAATAAAAACTTAACTGTGCTAGAAAAAAAAAATGAGTGAACTCCAACCAAGAGTTTCTGCCTATTTAGTTAAAACAGGAGTACTCAAAGAGAAAAAAATGCCTGTCCTAGAGTGATTTTATGTCCTCCCTTTCTAAGGAAAGTGCCAATTTCAAATATTTTCTCATTATTTCAATCACTGACATCCCCTCGAAACTCAATATTTTGGTGGCTAAATAGTCCCGGATGATGCACTATATCTGTTAGATGGTCTTTCAAAACCAGAAGCAACACAGAAGTCTTTTTATAGGACCACAGATCTTGGTTTGGGGTTCAGAAAATAAGGTCACTATGTGTAGAATGAGGTTGGACTGAAAAACAATCCACAGATCAACCTAGTTTCTCATCCCTTTGGGTAGATACTAAAGTATCTGGGCCAGGTTGTTTTGTAGCCTCTGCTTGAATATCTCCCCTGGTAGACTGGGAGCTCACAGCTCAGAAGGCATCTAATTATGAGTAAGCTTTGTATCTGTAGCCAAACCTGTTTCCTATAGCTTCACTCATCAGGGGCAACAGAAAATGTCCTTTTATTTTGTTGTGATGGTTCTTCAGTTATGTGGAGGGCTACTTTATCCAGCCTCCCCTTTCCCTCAAGTCAGTCCTCTTCCAGGCCAAGCTTCACCACACCCTCATGGAGCTGACATTCAAAAGGACAAGGCTACCACACAATGTAGGGACATTATTCACATAGAATTTGTTGGCTTTGCAAGATATACATACAGAGACAGACACATACACACACGTATCATGGTATATATAATATTAGATAGTGGTAAGAGCTAGAGTATATAGTATGATATCAGATAATGGCAAGAACTATGTGGAAAGATAAAACAAGATACTCAGGGTATGATAGGGGGCAAATACTATCTTATATCAGGTAGGTTGGCGAAAATCTCCCTAAGGAAGCGACACTGAGGAGAGTCCTGATGGAGGGAGGAAGTGAGCTATGCATGAAGGGAAAGGTTCTAGTCAGAAGGGTATTGATTCATAAATTTAA